GACTGATGGTTGCGGTACTGGTAATCGAGGGAATATATATGTAGACAATGTCTACTATATGTGGGATGACTCTAGCCGATTGATGGAATAAGAAGGGGAAAATTAGGATTTTAAGATGAAATTGGTAAATTTAAGGATTCTTTTCAGAAATTAAAGATTGGGTAAACTATACCAACGACCACTCAATTATAGTCCCTTTTCATTTTGACCACCGTTTTTGAATTCTTGTCAATAAGGTCACTCAACTATTTAAACGTATTTTATCAAGCCACTAGCCGTTAACACTTAACGGAAGTGATGACGTGATAGTTAGTAAAATTGGTATCATTACGCATTTGGTCATCAATGTTTATACATTCTATCAATTTAGTCCTAATTTAAATTAATTCAACAAATTTAATTATCTAATCAATATGAAAACATGTGTCATCATTTGATTGTAGATTTTTCTTATAATTTTAATTTATTTTATATAACATTCTTTTTGTCCAATCAGATTGTCACTATCAACATAAAGGGAAAAAAACTTTCAAAGAATTTTGAGGGGAGGTATTCAAACCCATGTCCAAGCAGCTGGATGAGGAGAGGCAAGCAATGCCACTGAAACGAGCCTTCAATTGTGATTTTACTTACATGCCTTTATATAAAGAGAAAATAATCTCAGTGACCAAAAATGCCTTATAATATACGATTTTAACCAATTTTTTTTGGATTTGCCAAAATGACCAACTAAATCGCAATGCGATCGATAATTCGCAACGCGATCTCCGGTATCGCAAATCAGTTTCCAGATTCGCAACGCGATTCTGACTATCGCATTGCGATTTCCCAAATTCGCGTTGCGATTTTCCTAATTCGCAATGCGAATACGTAAATCGCAATGCGAATACGTAAATCGCAATGCGATTTACATAGCGCCATTCGTATTAACGCGTATTTTTTTTTCAAATTCCAAACACGAATATATTAATATATCGGAACACTGAACCGTCCACAGTATATCCCGTAATCGCAACTCATAACCTAAAACCCTAAATCACAACTCATTCTCATCTCCATCTCTCACTCTCTAAGGCGACATCCGTCCCCATCTCCGACGAAATCAGTCCCCATGACGATAACAGTCTCCATCTTCGGCGAAATCATTCACGGTCAGAAATGGAAAATCAACCAAATCAACCACCGAGGGTTAGTTTTTTTAATTATTTTTATTTTGAAATTTTTGCATTATTATTAGGTTTTTCATATTGAAATTGATGATAAGTTTACTGGTGTTTTCAATAATAGATTAACCATTTCACTTAGATTGCTTATTATATTCATTCGATTGCTGCCAATACTGCTAAATTGTTTAGTCTTTAACCCTGTGAAGTTAGTATTTGTCTTTGTTTTGTCTTTTGGTTGAAGTAATACAATCCATTCAAGTTTCTTTCAATTTTAGTATTTGAAACCGAGAATGACTATCGTAACGAGTGAATCGCAACGCGAAAATGACTATCGCAATGCGAATTTGACTATCGCAACGAGAGAATCGCAATGCGATTTTCATTTCGCGTTGCGATAGTCAAATTCGCGTTGCGATAGTCATTTTCGTGTTGCGATTTTCATTTTCGTGTTGCGATTTAAAGTTTCAGAAACTATTCTTCTTCTGCAAATTGAAACTTGAATGAATTGCATTACTTCAACCAAAAAACAAATACTAAATTCACAGTGTTGCAAATTTAGTTTGAAGAATAAACTACTACTCTTTATGTTTATTGTTCATATCTTCACAGTGTAGTTTTTGGTATATCTAAATTGGTATGTTTATTGTTTTTGCAGAACTTTTATTCGGCTCAATTGACCTTAAGAAATAAAGTAAGCCTGGCCAAAACAATTGCGTCGAAGCTTTCACCTGCACAAAGAAAAATATTTGAGGATACTTGCTTCGGGCCATGGCTGAAAGTACAACATCCGGGTGGAGATGCTATATTGACCCATCTGTTTCTTCAAACCATGCCTAGCGATCTACCAGAGACTATACAACGTCGTGATGAAGAGATATGGTTTGATTTTCCACCGGCGTATACGTGTTTTGGGCGGAGGAGTTTTGCTTAATCACCGGTCTACGCTTCGGACACGATGATGTAGATAGTATACAAAGCTATCTTCAAGTCTTCCTTTGTATCAAAACAATCATCTTTCTTGATACGAATAATTTTTGTGTAACAATCAACTGCTATCTTTACCAACTCTTCTTCCGGTATCTGAAGTAATTCTGGCATATTCCAATTATACTCCCATGGCATTTTCTTCGGGGACTTTTCTTTGGGGATTTCTTCTTCTTCTTTTTCTTCTTCAGTGTTATATGAATTACAGAATGGATGTTCAACATGTTCATTTACAGTCGTAACTTCCTCCTCATTATCATCAACAACATCTTCCTCGGCAACGGCTGTTTCATCAAAATTCGGGTATTGACCAATATCAAAATCATTACACGCATGGTCTGTTTCTTCTTCTGAAAAATCATCAAAATCTGAGTATTGACCAAGATCAAAGTCCGGGTATTGACCAAGATCAAATTTCGAATACTGACTAGTACTCACAATTTTTTCTGTTAGCTCATCATCGTCTAACTGGTCAATACGAAAATCGGAATTTGGTGCTGAAAGTAGATTGGGATTTGGATTAGGGAAAGGTTGTGGGTTTTGAGATTGTGTTTGGTATTGGAAATGTGGTGAAACAATATTTGCTTGGTGATGAAATTGTGGTGGAACTATTAAATTTTGAGCACCATAAACTGGGGTTGAAAAACTTAGTTGATTACTACCCGCTACTGACCCAACTTCACTACTTCTAGGTTCAACAACATACAATGTAACATCATCACTTGAAACACTAATGTGAGCAATGAATCGTTCAACATCTTCATTGTCGGTTAACAAATAAACTTTACCATTTCTCTGATAAGATAACCTAAATCCACTTAGGGGCTGTAAATTCAATTTATTTGCAACACGTAACATTAGAGTTTCATAAGTTAACTTTTTTAATGACAGTTTTAGTTGAAGATTCATGGGTAAAGGCATATATTGTAAAACACTATGAACATTCTCTCATGACCCTCCAAAACACAAATCTATCCAAACATGATCAACATTAAATGATTTCATTATTGTAAATTAATTTACAAAACAAACGAGCTGCGAAAGGATGTCGTTGGATATAGGAACGGATGTCGCCGGAGAGAGTGATAGATGGAGATGAGTTGCGATTTAGGGATTTAGGTTATGAGTTGTTGATGCTGCGTAGTTATATACCCAAAATTTGTGTTGCGAAATTAAAACCTGTTGCGAATTCAGAAATCGAGTTGCGAATTTGAAATTCAGTATTGCGAGTATTGCGATCAGAGTCTCGTTGCGATTTACAGATTCGCATTGCGATTTACGTATTCGCATTGCGATTTACGTAATCGCATTGCGATTTACGTATTCGCATTGCGATTTACGTAATCGCATTGCGATTTACGTATTTGCATTGCGAATTAGGAAAATCGCAACGCGAATTTGGGAAATCGCAATGCGATAGTCAGAATCGCGTTGCGAATCTGGAAACTGATTTGCGATACCGGAGATCGCGTTGCGAATTATCGATCGCATTGCGATTTAGTTGGTCATTTTGGCAAATCCAAAAAAAGTTGGTTAAAATCGTATATTATAAGGCATTTTTGGTCACTGAGGTTATTTTCTCTTATATAAAACCTATTGTGGCTAATGCTAAAAAATAAAGAAAACAAAACTACTTATTTAGGGACTTAAATCTAAGTAAACTGCATGATTAAGGAACTCTAATCTCAAACTAATACAAAATTAGAAATATATTTATTTTTTACATTTTTAGGCGAAATTTAATATTTTTTAATTACAATTTAATGATTTTAATTTTTACATTTGAGCTTAAAAAATATTTTTCAACTGTACTTTTATCCAAAAAATTATAATTTTATATATTATAAAATAAACACATCATATGATAACAAATAAATGTTAAAAATATAAGTTTTACTTTAAAAACAATTTTTAAATTCAAAAGTTAAAATTTTTAACATTTACTTTTGAGTTAAAGAAATGTGTATAAAACATATTTTTTTCTTTTAAATATTATCGTTTAACATTGTCTATAATTTCAAAAACATTTTTTAAAAAATAATGATGAATAGGTTAATTTAAATGGTTAGAATTTAAAGATGTTTATATATTCTATTTAAAATTATTTTTGTTTTTAATTTATATTAATTTGAAATTAAAGTTCCCTAATCATATAATTTGTTTAGATTTAAGTCCCTAAATAAGTAGTTTTTTTTCTTTATTTTTTTTGGCAGTAGCCAAGATAGGTAAAGAAATCAACCCACATTTACAAACAAAGTAAACTCAGAGGTAAAGAAGTTATTACTTAAGGCCCCATATTCAAGTACCATGAATAATAAGGATATGAGATTTTAATATCAAATAATTAAGAATTATCTTTGAACATACATTATCTTATACTTAACCCATATTAATAAAACATTATATACTATGAAAAAATACTTTAAACACAACAAAATAAAAAATAAATACCTTTTCAATTAAACATTTAAATAACTTACAAATGTAAGTGTTTTACTTGGAGGAGGCAACTAGAATACTTGAGGAATAATTAATAATTCCTAATGGATGAGAATGTACTTCCCTTTTATACTTTCCCTTTGTGATAGATTCTTTTAGGGTTTATTATGAGAAGATATCAGATTAATTGAAGATTTCTTGTAAAACTTAACAAGTTCACAACCACAAAGCTACGTAGACACTATAAAAAGAAATCTCCACTTGTCCCTCTCAAAGGGCGTGGAATTGAGCACAACTTTGAGAGAATTTTTATACATACCTTTGAGGGTGGCTTTACTAGGGAAAGCATTGGGATTGAGGATGAGTATAAAACCCAATGTGCACCTCTAGTTTCATTGTGTATGAATTGACTGTATAATATTTACTTACCTACCTTGTAATTTCACAAAGAATTAATATGGGAAACGCAGTTTAAAAAACAAAACAAACTAGTTCATTCTATGATTCTGTATGCAATGGGCAACCAACCTCTACACTCTAATACAAAATAAGGTCATTTCTACTACAGTGAGGTCAAAATAACAAGGGAAAATACGATTAAAAAAATTACAAGACCTGATTTGATGATGTAAAAGCTGAAAGGACTTGCCTGAATCGATGTCCTACGAAAACCCTTCGAGAAATTGGAGTCATCTGGCTTATTGTGGGGTAAAATTTTGTGAGGTGAAGACAATCTTACAGGGGAGGCTTCTGGCAAATTACTTTACACAATGTACAAATGGATTGTTTTCGATGGTGTTTGGCATGGAACTTGACTATCAATGTTCATGCTTCACACATGCTTTTAATATTCCGGGGAGCGGCGGTGATGTAGGAGGCCTACCTGGAATGCTTGTCATTGGAGAAGGAAGGATCTGTTGCTGGCACATTGTGGACATGCTAGAGCCTTCACCATCTGCAGAAAAATGGTGTGTGGTTTCACCACTCTCTGGTCTCTCGCAGAGTTTCATAGCCTTCAAAACATAATTGTCATCGTGGAGCTCAAATGGAGTGCTGTAATGGGAAAACAATAATATAAAAGGTAAAAAGAAAGACGAGCAATAAATCAAACTATATAATTTATCCCACTATCCTAACTACTACTTTCCCTCTCTTAGTTGTTCTAAACTAGTTGAGAATGAATCAAAATACACAACAAATGGCGTTGAATGGTTACTGCAAGTTACTATAATAGTTTAAAAAATCTTACCTATTAAAGTCAAAGTGCACCAGCAGCATATCTTCCGATATTTCTACCTCAACAGTTGCATGAGGGCGTGTCTACAATTTCCAGATGCAGGGAAAAAAAAGATAAATTAAAAAACCTCAGGATCTATGGTAGCGTCCAAATAACTAACTAGAAAAACACACTTTGTGTTCAATATGTACATGCCTTGTGATAGCCTACTAGCCTTAATGAAGAAACCTTATTATGTCGCTTTCTTTTTCTTATTGCAGTTAAAGAGTTTGAAAAGCAAGATAGATGCATAACCAGAGGTTTGATAATGCAATGGTGATTTTGTGATTATTAATATGGGCATTCCAAAACTCTTGTTGAAGAAATAGAAATAAGCATACAAATCCATTAACATGTTCCCCACTTGTCAAGTAGAAAAAGGCATTGCAGAGTTCTCAGTTTAACGTCATCAAGTATGTGATCAAAAGCTGATTTACAGGCAAGAAATTTTAAAGCTGAAACAAAGTTAACAAAAGAAACAAATATTGGTTATAGAAAGGAAAATAATTAAGAACAATAATATAGATTAGATGCAGATCTTAACAAATGACAGGACTTAGTAAAAAACTTTAATGAAGTAAAAATTGAAACAGAGTAGCAGATCGCATGAGAAGTTGGATTATCATACATTTTTAATTAAACGGAAAAACAGAGAATCATGGACAGAGTAACAAACCGCATGAGAAGTTGGTTCATAAAAACACAAACAATTATTTGAGGGAGCTGGTATAATAAAATTTTGCCTAATAAACAAAAATCATTGCATAACTTCGATGAGTGGCATTTCTACTTCCATACAAGAATGAAAGACTTGAGAAGATAACAAACCTGCACCAGGATAAAAGGTAAAGCCACACCACCACTGGGACCATTTCCTGAGCTGTACGATTGCTCATTCCGTTGTATCAAATTCTGAAGACCTACAAACTGGGGGGTGGGGGAACCCAAGTACATTAACAACTGATGGCATGTTAAGGGCCATATGAAACTTGATGCCCTAAACATCTCTCTCTATATATATACGCCGTAACTATATGACAGCAAAAATGGGAACTCTCAACACAAGGGGAAGCTAAAAGCAATTTCATGCACAAACAAGTGAAAATTGAGAAGTGCACTATTCTTACCTGTTCCTCCAATTCATGCAGATAGGAAGCTTTTTTTTCAATCCTACTTCTCAGTCCAAGCCGTTCAGTCTGTATAAGTTTAATTAGAGGAGCTTAGTAAGCTCAGTATTATATCCTTAGCAGATCTAACCTACATAAGAAACATAAAAATGGAGATGTATTCTCACCTTTAGATCTTCTATATCACTCAAACTAGTACGAGGAAGTCCCTTCCACTGTATTTCCTTTTTATCCTTAGATATAATATCCATTGCCATTAGTACATTAAGAGCATCATAAACCCTTCGCCGAATGTTCTTCTCATCATACTGCTGCTGTTAGATATGAAAATAAATTAAAAAAGAAAAGACGAATAAAGGAGGTCCAATACAGTTATTTTCACTCTCTTAGGGTAAAAGGTGGAAGTGTATCCTGTAGAGATCAAGAATCCAATATTGACAGGTCCAAAAAGTTGCAAACCTGATCAGGTGATGCTACACTACTGCCTGGATCAGAAAATTCAGCTACAAGTTCATCTGCCACCTGGGAAAAACTTTCACTCTCATATATAGACATGGACATATAAATAAATTGTTATAAGCAGACAAAGTAGCAACTTTCCAACCCTTCCAAATTTTAGAAAACGAAGGCACAAATCCAAGTGCATGCAAGTCTGTGTTTGCTAGCATGAGTACAAAATACTAGCATTTAAGAATCACATAATGATATGGTATCTATTTGAAAGATAAAAAAAGTATCATTCTGCCTAAAAGTACGAAAAAGTACGAAAAGGTACATGAACTATAAGATGGCGTTTGGTTCGCTGGAATGTTTCTGAGGGAATTGGAATCTGTGAAGGAATTGGAAGATGAAACCTGTTTGGTTGGCAGGAAATTGAATTGGAATCCAATACTATATTCTGTTTAGTTCGCAGACATGTCAGATGAATTTGATTTCAGTAATGTAAAATGACAGAATTGCCCTTCTTCTTTTTTTGCTTTATTTTAGTTTTACAACTTACATGTAGCAATATATTATAAAAATTTAAAAATATTAAATTTTTCATTTTATTGATTGATTATTCATTTCAATAAATTATAAAAATCATGCTAATAAACATCATAAGTTAAAATCATCGCAATTAGGGATGGTCATGGGTCGGGTTGGGTCGAGTTTTTGGTCCACCCGACCCGACGCGAGAAGGAAACCTCCACCCGAGACCCGACCCGACCCGAATATATGAATTAGAAACCCGACCCGACACGAAATAATAAAAAATTATTTTTATTCAATAAAAACAGTGATAAAAAACCCTAAACCCGACCCGAATATCACACTTAAAAAAAATCCGACCCAACCCGAATATCAAACTTAAAAAACCCGACCTTACCCGAACCCGAATTTTAAAAAAAAAAAATCCAACCCGATCCCGAATTTTTTTTTAAAAAACCCGACCCAAACCTGAATTTTTTTTTAAAAAATCCGACCCGAATACCAAAAGATTGATGAGGATAGTATGGTCAAATTTCACATTTCCTCTTCCAAAAGATTTCAAATTTCACATTCCAAAAGATTCCAGCGAACCAAACGCCACCTAAATATCCTAATGGGACTTGGTTGGACGCCCAAAATAACAAAACCACTTAATCACAATGATAAACATGAAATTTGTAATTCTTAAGGAATCAATGTAGAACATATAGGTTGCTATGAAAGAAATCACCAGGAAATCAATTTGCCAAGTCTACTCTTCATTGTTATCTCATTTGCACATTAGAAGCTTCTGCATGGGAATTTTGGAGTGATATATAAAATATTCTATATCTTACAAGTATACAGTTTTGCAATTCAGAGTTATGGTATGCAAATCTAACCTATAAGAAGGAAGAGTCAAATGCAAAACTAGTTTGGTCCCTGGTTAGACAACATATATATAATCCATTAATGCAATATTAAAAAAATAGCTTTTGAGTATATCACAGAAATGGAAACAATAAATCCAGGGAAAACTTAGAACACTTTGCCAAAATGGTTAGAGGATACAAAACCATAAGCACTGATGGAAAGACTATTAATAAGCTTACCAAAACCAACAAACATGAAGGAAAGAACGGCTTTCAGAAATCAACTGACCTCATTGTATGTGGTTCTTCCCTTGCTTTCCACTTTTTCACACACTGGATGAAACCAAAGACAGTTCAAACAACAAATTAAACAGCTAAGCCACAACTGCTAACTCATTTATAATATCCGTGGCAGAATAACAAGCACATACAAAACAATTATCACATGAAACAGTATGCCATTATGCTTTTAATGCAATCTTTTATAAGCCAAAAATCACAACATTTTAAGGGTGAGGAAAATAAAAAAGTGTAAACAAAACCTTTCATGCTAAATTGACGGAGCCCTCTGCCACTCTTATCACCTCCAACCGCACGTTGACCTCTCCTTTTCTTTTTACTACTGCAAATGAAGTTGCCAATTAGTTAAATCAAGGTTACTCCTATCCATTATCATTATGAAAACGTAGAATGACCAGTGCCGACAACTGCATTAGGATAAGCAGTATGGACAATCCAATTGCAGTCACCAAAAAGTTCAAAAGATTCCCCTCTTTCCTATTATAGCCAACAAATAATGTACAATTCAAGCATACTGCAAAAATATTTACCAAATTGAACCAAAAACAAGCACGATTTTACATTATGAAAGCAAAATTAAAGACTTTGTTTCAATCTACCCCGGATCCCCGCCGCCTTTCTTCAAAACCCCACAATTAAATCATGCATTCAACATAATTATCACAAACTCAAGCAAAAAGGGTGCTTAGAAAGAAAGCCCTCACCCGGCAACACCTTGAGATCCAGCATCATCTCCGTGAAGATCGAGGTGGTTCGGTCTTAAAAAGGTGCTCTCACTGGCAGGCGTAGCCATAGCCAGCTCACTCCGGTTGAAAGGAGAACCAACACTGCCACTAGTGGAAACGGATTGACCTGAAACGGCGGTGCCCCACGACCTAGAAGCACCTCTCTTAGTTGGGTCATTATCCCCATTTTCTCGGTAGTTAAGGTTTTGAATTGTGTTACCACCCGTTACCATACCTAAAAAAATACCAAACCCAGAAATTAAAAATTAAGTGAACTTTGGGGGTTTTGAGACGTTAACAAAAGTGGTAAGTGGAGATGAAGAGAAGCTAATGAGTATAATCAGTAAACGCTTGGCACCAAAAATTAATCTCTCTACTGTTTGTTTATGTTCCTAGAATAAGGTAAAAGAACTATGAGAGTGAGGGTAAAAGGACTCTTATTAAGGAATTAGCTAAAAGAGGTTTCCACTTTCAAGGCTTTGAATAGCTGCAAATGAAGGTGATGGAGAAGAGGGAAATTTTATTTGTCAGGGTTTGGTTTTTTGTCGAATAATAAAAAGTGAGATTGAATGGATTGGTCATCAATGGCCCAAATTTTGGGTTTAGTGATTGATACGCGTTCATGAAGAGTTCAGATGGATTAGATTTTACGCAATTTTTAAAAAATGTAATCAAATTAGGTTAGATATTAACTTCCTTTGGTTCATGTTGTCTGACCGACGAAATGCATCATTATCAAAACTACATTTTACTTAATACAAAAATAAATTTTATTTCGTGTAAATCACAAATATCCTCATTTATTTATTTATTTAAATGCATATTTCATCAATTTAAATATGATTATTAGAATAAAAAATTTCTTCCATCAAGTATTTAATATTATTTTATTATGTAAAAAATCGTTATTATTCTAAAGGTTTCAAATTTAAGCACAACATCTGCAAAATATTTAAATATTTATTATTAAATGGTTAAAAATCTTTAAAATAAATACTACCCTATAAATTATAATCAGTTTATGCTAATAAAAAATATTATTATATTCTCAAAATTTTGAATTTTAATTAAATTGGACAACTTCGCACCAATTGATTTGAACTCATATACTCTTATCTAAACTGAATATTTAAAATACACTTAATATATTAAATAAAGTTTTAAAATTAATTTTTTATATTATAATAGTTTAGGGTGCGCTTATACATAGTAGAATATAATGGTTTGAGTTTAAATTTCTAAAAGAAACAATATGTTTTCTTATCACAAAACCCACCCGATAGTTTTAACTTTTAAAAATAGAACACATATTACTAGTAATTTCCATATATATATAATGTCTAGTATAGTTAAGTCTATGTAAAGATAAATTACAAATAATCATCATTGTGGATAAATTATTAAAAATGATTTAAAAAATACATGTGCACAAATATAAAATGAAACTTTTATGTTTAGTATTTTTTTTGGAATGAATCGGACTAAGTTAAGGCCTCGTTTAAAAAAAAATAAGTTTGGGAATAAATCAAGTTAGAGAATTTATTAGGTGGCTTTAGTGATAAAAATGAATATTAATTTTTTAGAGATTTTAGATTCGACCAGTTGGGTCTGCATAATGTATGTATGTTACTAGTTAGTTAACAAAGTGTAGTACCCAAATTTTAGCTAGTTACTAAAATACAAATTTTGAAAGTTTAGTAGCCAAAGTATAAATTTGAAAAAGTTTAGGGACCAAGATGGTAATTTTCCCAAAAATAAATAAATAGTTTATCCTCAAAAATGGATTATCTATGAAAGTCATATTTCTATCCGGAATTTGTATAAAGAGCTATTAAGCGATAAAATTCAGTAAAGTATTCAGATTATTGGATCGAATCGAAAGTTTATAAAATTTGAAGGATGGTAGTATGGGGTTAGAAATATTATATTTATATTTTAATCAGTAGAATTTAATATGGATTAGTGGAATTAAGTGGATTTTCCATGTTAAAATGGAATAGTGGAATTTAAGTGACTAAATTGAAAGTTTGGAAAATTAAAATAGCAAAAAATGGAAATCAATATATATGATTTTTATATTTATTTATTGTTAAGAAAATGATGATGAAAGGATGGCATGGAGGAAAATATTAAGATTCATTAAGCGTAGATTTGACTTTTAGGACTAAAATAAATTTAAAATTTGTTTTAATTAGAATTAAGCCATGTGTACATAGATATTTTGGGAGAAAACTTAAGAAAACTTCTTCAAAACCCCTTTAAATTGTTGCAATTCCATTGAAAATAGGGCAAGGTATGTTTTCTTTTTTTTCTTCATGTTAGTCTATTTTCCTTTGATTTTTGGATTAATTTATGAAATAGAAAAATGATCTATATCAAATTCTCTATCATTTGGTGATAATATTTCATTGTTTCCATGTTTAAATCATTGTTTTGATTGTTAGACTGTATGATGGGTAAGTTGGATTTTAATGATTTAAGGATAGATTTTTGTGTTGTTAATATTACAGAGAAAATCAATTGGAAATGTTTAAAGATGAATTTAGTTAAGGTTAGAGTTTATGGAAAAGATTGAATTTTGATTGTTTTTTATATGGAATTGATTGAGATTGCATGGAAATGATGATAAGAATTTGAATCCATGCATATGTATTCATTTGATAAGCTAATAGAATTAGTGAATAAGCTAATGATGCAAATTAGTGAAATCTGCTTAAATTAGTAATTTGAATAGTAAATTTATAAAATCATCATAAATTCTACAAGAATGATTAGAATAAGATTTTTATACCGTTAAATTTTTAAATCAATTTAGTTTTGTTTAAAACAAGTGGTTACTGATTTAGAAGTGTATACAAAAATATATGAATTTTTAACCAATGATAGATCAGAAATTTGGGCAGCAGATTCTGCTCAAAACAAATTTTGTAAGCTCGATTAGAAAATTCGTCATAAATTGTACAAGTTGAAATAGAAAAGGTACCTTATATGGTTAGATTCGTATTCAAGTCTAGTTTCTAATGGTACAAACGGAATAACTTTTAAATTCTTAGATTAATACATAATAATATTTTTTTGAGGGTGGTACAAACTGTCAAAATATGAAATTGAGGTAAATTATGCATTTTATGATACTCTTATGTTATATGCTATCTTAATTATTTGAAATGATTCAACTCTATTATCTTATCATGGTAATTATGACATTTATCATATGATGAAATTATGATAATTTCATGGAAATGTTGTTTAGAGGATGAATTCATGCTTGAATCAAAATATAATCCATGCTAGGAAAACTTAAAGGAATTCGGCCAAAGGGAAAGAAATAAGGAAAAATTTTAGGAAAATTATACAAGGTTTATAAATGATGTATGAGTGATTCTACATGCTTAAAATATGATTTGGACCAATTTGGAAAACTGTGAAAGTATATGGACTTAATAGCATAAATTGAGAAATATGAATATTAATGTGCAATTGTTTAATAATTGATGTATTATGTTAAAATTGAATGTTGGAGTGCTAAATTTTATCTTTGGATGATAACTTGGATCAAATTGAAAACTTGTGAAACTATAAGGAATTATTTTAAATTTATGGAATGTTTGAATTTGTTTTATGATGCTTGAATTTAGGGTTAAATGGAAAAAAGGACTATATTGAATAAAATAGAAAAGTTGAGATGAAATTCTAAAAGAATTTATCATATGGTTAAAATTATGGTATTATGGATTTAGAATCTTGGAAGGTTGTAAGAATGTAAGGGCTAAATCGCAAAAATGGAAAAAAGGTAGGAACTTAAATGCAATGTGTAATTTATTTAAGTACTATATTGAAGTTGAATATAAATAAATTGTGATAGATTTGGTAGAATGTAGAAGTTAAAGGACTAAATAGTAAATATGAAGAAATTATGGGATTAAAGTAGAAATTTAATATGAGATGATATGTGAAGTTTAAATAAATAAATTTTAAGGACTTGGAAGGTTAATTTGATAGAATCAAGTTAGTTTTTTATTTGGTAAATAATTTAGTATCGAATATACGTAAATGATATTTTTAGATTATCTATACAAATATAAATTTATTATATTAGTTAAAGTATTAATACATAGTTAAATAGTATATGATTTTAAAAATCTTCCTATAAATGTTTATATGAAAAACGATATAAGTTAAAATAAAAGCTTAGTGTATAAGATTTGAGAGCCAATGGTACATAAGATGGAGTGATTCTAATTATAATATCGTACTTTCGTGTACAATATAATTATCAGATAAATTTATGTATTCGGGATCATAGGTACAGTGTTGTGTTTTACAATAGATATACATTCACAAGGCATTGAATGTGTCACTCCTATGGTGCAATCACAGGGCATTGAATGTGTCGCACCTATGGTGCAATCACAAGGCACTAAATGTGCCATACAATTACATATCATAAGCAGCTATGCTGCATACAGGGCATTAATGTGTCATACAGATACATGCAGTTATTATGTTGCACACATAGCACTAATATGTCATATGGTTACAAATAATTTATACTGCATATTGTAAAGAGCACTCGTTTTTGATTCACGTGCTCTGTATTCTCATTATTATACATTGGGCTGTAAAAATTGAAACTAAAAAAATATAGTAAAAAAATACAATACACCAAAAGATATAGCACAATAAAAGAATTAGTAAAAGAAATAGTACAATAAGAGAAATAATATAATAAAAGAAATAGTAAGGTGAAGGAAACATTATAGTGAAGGGAACAATAGAAAAAATAGGAACAATATAAGAAAGAACAATACGAAAAAAGGGCATTACTAGTTTAATTATTATGTTCGATAGTAAAGTTTTACATAAAGTTTGATTTAACACTGAATAGTTTATAGATGAAAAATTGAATGATAAGTTACTCGTATATTAAATAATTAGGATAAATCTTATTTAATTAATTAAATGATTCTATAATATATTTTCATACAATGTTTTGTACTAAAATATATATATGATTTAATAGTTATGAGTTAAATAGGTTGAATATGAAAGTATATTTTGTAATTAACAACGGTTTCTTTAGATATGTTTGACTGGATCAAGGAAGATCTACTAAATATAATATGAGATGAAGATGATAAGATTGATGTCAAGAGAGACGTGGCAATTGTCATAATAAGATAAATTTTATATTAATTGATATTTCCCATAGTTAGATAACATTTGCTTAATCTAAATTGTAGTTAAATTGAGGGCAAATCATATGTACTTAACTTAAGAAAAATTTATAATCATAGTATGAAACTATAATAATAGTTGTTGGTAGCGGGAGGTTGGGTGGCGGTAGACAATAACTATAAAGACTATGTTTTGAATAAATTAGATTATAGAAAATATAAATGTTTTATATATAGCTAGATAAAGAATATTATAAGAGTTGAACCAAAATGTAAATTAATACGAGAAAACGTTATAAGAAAGGTGAAAACATGGTAAGTCAAGTGATTTCGTAT